TATTCCACTGTCATGAATTCACATGTGACCAAGCTCATACTGTAGGGCTTGGAAAATTGAAAAAGAGCTTCCTTTAAACCAAGAGCTGAGTCCAACAGAAAGCTTTTTAAATTAGTAGGAAGAACACTTTGGTTTGTCAATTCAGTGAAATGAAAAATCTAACTAGAAGCCACAAGCATTCTATACGTCAAGGAGACTGGAGGGTCGAAGTACCACCCAACCCAAGTCACAGCTAATGGTGAGTTTCAACGAGGATATTATGCAGGTCATAAAGTTAGATTTTTCATTTCACTGAATTGACAAAGCAAAGTGTTCTTCCTACTAATTTAAAAAGCTTTCTGTTGGACTCAGCTCTTGGTTTAAAGGAAGCTCTTTTTCAATTTTCCAAGCCCTACAGTATGAGCTTGGTCACATGTGAATTCATGACAGTGGAATATTTCCTAACGAAAACTTACCTTGCTCTGGCCTGTGGCGCCACCAATTTTTGGCTGAGTAGGTTGAACAACTTGTTTTTTGTCTCAGGTTTGACCTAAAGCATATTTTCACGTATATAATCTATTTTGTGACAGGAATGAATAAGGCAAGCTGGAGTTTGGCTAACGAATCTCTTACAAGGGAGGTCGTTCAGGGCGTGCCCCGCTTTTTCAAAACGGTCTTTTGCATTTTGTAGGGGCTCGTACATAGACTACAAAAGTGGTGTTCATTTTTGCTGTGCGGCCACCGGTATGCCAAAAAAGGAGCGAAATACCTCTCCCAAGGAAGGCTCCAGTACGCTTGTAGCGTCGAATACACGTTGTATTGAGGGTGATCTTCTCTTGAATGTTGTAAACCACTTCAAATATGCCCATTTATAGAGCACGATTCCTTATGCGTAGTGGGGAGATCGCAGAAGGTTGTGGCAGTGTCATAAGCAATGGACGCCACCTTCCCCTCGTGGTGGTCAAATGGCGCAGTGGATAGTGGATCGGGCTCTGGAACGTGGTGGATGGTGGGTTCTTGGATCGGATCCCGCCACTGGCGATGTTTTTGCATTTGCTGGGACTTCGTCCTTTAGCATTTCCAATTGTCTGTAAATGGGTGCAAACCGCAAATATACGATTTGGCACGTTCTGTCGCATTTCATGAGTTGATGTAGACATTTTTCGTCTATGATCTGCAAACGTTGGATTTTTCATTCATTTATTACACACAAGTTCAGCAATTGTGATAAGTTTCTACGAAGCATGTGAAGCACAAGCGCTTGCCGCACCAACTACACTTGACAAAAGCCAACAAAGTGCAGGTGTTGTTTCCTTGACACGGGACATGCTCGACAACTCATGAAATGCGACAGAACGTGCCAAATCGTATATTTGCGGTTTGCACCCATTTACAGACAATTGGAAATGCTAAAGGACGAAGTCCCAGCAAATGCAAAAATATCGCCAGTGGCGGGATCCGATCCAAGAACCCACCATCCACCACGTTCCAGAGCCCGATCCACTATCCACTGCGCCATTTGACCACCACGAGGGGAAGGTGGCGTCCATTGCTTATGACACTGCCACAACCTTCTGCGATCTCCCCACTACGCATAAGGAATCGTGCTCTATAAATGGGCATATTTGAAGTGGTTTACAACATTCAAGAGAAGATCACCCTCAATACAACGTGTATTCGACGCTACAAGCGTACTGGACTGCATTTTGGTGGTTTAAATGGCCCTTCCTTGGGAGAGGTATTTCGCTCCTTTTTTGGCATACCGGTGGCCGCACAGCAAAAATGAACACCACTTTTGTAGTCTATGTACGAGCCCCTACAAAATGCAAAAGACCGTTTTGAAAAAGCGGGGCACGCCCTGAACGACCTTCCTGGTTAGAGAAGGGAAGGGGAGGGAAGGGAGCACTATAGCTATTGACAGGACAGGGACATGCACGACTGGATTTATGATTTATGATTTATTATCGGCAAACTAATTACAATGGTCGAGATAAATAACAGTGTATGAGGAAAAAAAAAACTCCGATAAGGTGAAAAAACACTCATGGTAATACAAGATACAGGGATGATGACTTTAATCATTAAAAGTTATCCAGTCAAACATGGGCGCACCATACAAGCGCAGTAAGGCTTCCTCGGGTTATGTGTCTCCTTTTCTATCAGATATTGGAACGATAAATACTGCACTCAAAGCGACAGTGGCCATCTATAAAATATGGTACAGTGGCCTACATGGCCCAACAGGAGACGAAACGCACTCAGAGAAATCTGATACAGCACATGCGAATGATCCGGAAGACTGGAAGGAACGTTACACTAAGTAAGAAGTGCGACCATGGCGAATACAAAAGGTGGCAGCTGTTATGAGGGGAGAGGACTGTAGTGCGGTCAAGGAGGCCTTTCAATCGATGATGCCATGAGCCTGCAATATTGGTCAAAACGCTCGATCAAACTCGCCCATTCACAACTGTGGTATGCTCGCTTTAGTCTTCGAAACATTGTATCTCCTTTGATAGAAGTGGAAGGGAAGGTTACATAAAGTAAGAAGTCGTGGTTCACCTTCCCTAACATCTCATAGTGTTGCATGTACCCAATCTTATGATACTTGAGAGATCCTTTGCAATCAAAAGTCTTGAGCTTGAAAAAAGAGTGTGAAGGTGCTCTGTGGCTGGCCATTAGAGAAGGGCGATACGTGTACCGACTTTGCAATGTTGCGTCAGCGCCTAGAAGCCGATACAGTAGCTTGCAATGTCGAGGTGGAGAAGGTGTCTGCTTCGGACGTCCTATGTTCAATAGCACTGACGCTATATTGAGACATGTCTTAAAGGCAGCGTCCGCGATCAACCAAGTTGGAGAAACTCTGTACTGTACAAGATTGCGGAGTCCTGCAACCACAGGGATATCCCACTCCTGGGACTCGAAATCGATTGATAGACGAAGGCGGAGTCAACAAGTGATAAGCTGACCCCGCCTGTCGTGTTAATCCCGCCTCGACTGGTTTTCCGTTATCAATCCTCGCTGGCATTGATAATCGCTAAATTTCTAGCGTTCGTTTCGTACACTGATAGAGAGATTAACTCATAGACAGATCGATTATCAGTGCCAGCGAGGATTAATTAGATTAGATAAGATAGCCTCATGAGGACTGCGGCAACGTGTTTTGGAGAACTCACCCAAAATCTGCGAAACTCGTCCAGATGCGTCCGATCGAACAGGGTCTTATTCTATGTTCTTGCGGCGCTTTTTGTTTACTTTTTTGATTAATGCTTTAGTTGCCACATGTTCTAAGAATTCTGAGCCCTACAACCTGCCAAAGTTGACCGCGGGCGCTGCCTTCAAGGCGTTTGGCACGATAATTTGGTACCCGGCTCATATAAACGGTCAAAATCCTGCGAAGAAAAAGCTCCGTTATCAATGACTAGAAAACCAGTTTTGGACGAGTTCCTTGTAGGCATCTTGCCAATAACCGCTACCGAAGATACGGCTGCATATGTGTACTCATATATCCATGCAGCATCACGGCCGCTTCATACCAATCCCTTCGCTTCATAATTTGCTTAGCAAATCAATACCAGCGTCAGGAATGGAGTCCACTTGTGAGCGTTCGGGTCGGTATGTTATGGCTTTATAGGGCCCCTCCCCTGAAAAAGGCATTACAAAGCGCTCGCTCAGGGTCGGGAACATGGCACTGCCAGGCGAATCAACTCGTTGGGGATTCATCATACCAAGTGCCTTCAAATGAAATAATGGAGTTTGAGGAAGAAAGCAGAAAAAAGCAGTTAAAGTGTTCTAAAACGAACTGTTGATTCTAGCGCTGGACGCGCGTGCTTTGAAAAAGCCTTCAACGGAATCTGTGGATTCCAGCTCTGTACACGCGAATAGCGAAAAGAATACGTGTTCATCCTTTGTACCACGCTTCCCTTATACACCAGGGATAAGCACATTATCCTACCAACGCTTCAGGTCCCTCGGCCGCCGTTTCATTTTTTTAACATATGCTACATTTCCACGCCTGCGCTTACGTCCCGATCCAATCCATAGCAAACAGTTGCATTGATCCTTTTGGCGATTACACTATTCACTAGATGTTGATCAGGACAGAAAAACCAAATAGCCCGACGTCCAGAATAGGGCCAACCCTATGGGACTATTTAATACAGCAGTACGAAATTTTGCATATTGCATAATGAATATTTGAAGTTGCCCGGAAGTCAAAATGTAACGGCGATTTTTGTTTTCTAGACTTACTTTCGCATGGAAACTCTCAGCCTTTTCAGCGCTCAAAACAGCTATTGTTTTTAGCTTGGAGGTCGGTTCTACCGGTTCCATATTCGACGGCAACTTGAATTGAGGTGGTGGCTGCCGTTTTTCCTTAACAAGAGCGGTTTTCGAGAGCACACAGTGAAGTTTTTTGAACAAAACCATGCTTCTTCGTGTATTTTCCGATCTACCAATGTTCTGGTGTTCTTTTTTGTGACTTATGGTTTCGCTGCTTCGGTTTGATACCAGATGATGCTAATTAGCCATGATAATGAGCGCTGTGAATCGCAGCTATTCAGGAACACGACGAACATACGAGGGCCCAAGTCTCGAAGAAACGATAGGTGTACAAACATATCAAGATCTTTACAAAGGCTCCCACATACTAATGGAGGTGCACAGACGCAGGATGAAGAAAAACCACCAGCTAGAAGAGCATTCCACACCGTGTTTCGTCCCTTCTGCAAAGCTTGGCGTTGTTTGGATTGGTGAGCCCCCCTAGTGCTTCCTAGCAAAGCCTGGATAGGTCAGCTTATAAAAGCCTACAGGTTCTTATAGGTTCTTGTTCTTGAAGGGGGTCACTTGTTTCACGTAACATATTCACAAGGAGTTACAGGTCTTACGGACAGAAGTGAGTCTTAGTAGCTCACGTGATCTAACCGGAGGAACTGGCGTGAATGCAAAATGCGCCCACCCTACCATGCCTATAACCCATACCTCTAAACCGAACAGCGCCTAGTTCTTGTCTTGCACTATCTCGTACCTGTATACACTAGATGGTACAGCATTTCCTACCACTCCAACGTGTTTGGTACCAATATAAACTCACTAATACTCTTACACTTTTACGAGCTCACCTCTACCGTTCGGGTCTTCATTACACTCCTTTCTTCAGTACGGGTCTTCATGAGACTTTTTTCTTCTCCGGTCTTTTGAGGTCTCTGAAGTGAGCTAATGTTCCCCGTTCACGACTAGTGTTTCCTAGTTTTCTTGCTATCACCGGGAAGTGGATGGAAATTCGAGACCACTCATTTGTAGAGAAATCAGATCAGGTTGACCACTTTATTTGTGCACCAAACCACCAGGAATGTCTGGTGGCAGAATCGAGCGCAATGCCACCACAGTTTGGAAGAAAGTGAAAGTTATGAATTAGTCCAGATCGGACCCAATTGAAGCCAAATACTTTCTCTTTCGACTGTGAGAAGAGCACTGCATAAACAGCCTCAGTTTGACATGCGGTGACTGTCTGTAAGGGGAGACGGGCAAGAGAATCGTAAATTAAATTCTGCGCGCGGTAATAAGTGGGCGCGAGGTTTCCTTAATTTGCACCCTTTCGACTGGAGCATCGGATTTTATGTAGACAAGATGTCTATTTTTGTCATGCAGTGTCTATTCTCAACCAATACCGCCTAAAGTTGTCATCATTGGCGGGCGCGACGTCGCACGCGACGCCCACTAGCGCGGCGAATCACGATCCTTCTGTCACATACCGTCTATAAGTATGCTCAAAGCTCACCGATGATCTACTTTTTTTATTTGCCTCGCTCCTTTCTAGGGCGGTTTTCACTGGCGTATCGGCCTAGAATATAAGAAAAATAGACGAATTATTCTTCCTGAAAAAATTGCATCATGATGAATTCTCTTCCTTTCCAGGAGCAACACTTTCCGCCTAAAGAGCTTTTCCGGAATCTGAATTAATTTTCAAGTAGTTGATGTAGCGAACTATGAATCCCTCTCCTTCTCCTCGGATTTGGTTCTAAATCTCCCTTAATATTGGCTCCAATTTAGGCGTTACTCAAAGACAGAATCTTCGGTGTATTGATGGTTTCCCGCGAGACACAATGGTGAAATTCGAGTAGGAAAATTTCAACAAAACACAGAAAATATTCTATCTTCGTCATTTTTAAATATGTCACCTTACCCTTGATTTACTGAATAATTTGCTTCTGCTTTTTTTCTTCTTAACACGTCTAACGTCTGATGGAGCGGCGGCGGTCTTCTCAGGTACTTCATTTTGTCCCTAGGATAACATATATAAATAGTGAGGACCTCGTCTCTTCGGATGGGAAGGAAATTTTGAAAAGGTGCTCCAAAAAAGGTAAGTACATCTAAAATGTCTTCGCCCTGACCACTGCAGAGTGTACTTGAAGCAACAGCACTATTTACCCTTTACTGCCCCCACTTTTCGGAATGCGGCCAGTTTCTTGCCCACTTTTTTCCTTCAAGGTCAAATTTGGTTAAAAAATTATTTCTAGGGATAGTCAGCTGAGCGAATATGGTATTCGTGTTCAGGAGGTAATACGCTGGAGGTAAATTCCAACAAAATTGATGACTTAGGGTAATTTGAGGCTGACACCTATGGCGCGGGAACTAGGCGGTTTGAGCCCGCGCGGATTCGGTACTCGCGTACGGGAGATTGAACTTCTCCGAAGGAAGTTTCTTCCTGACGTGCTCACGGAGAGAATATTCGGCGAAAAACCGGCCTGATTGCAGAAGACTAGGGCTGAAAAGGTAAATATTGCCAAATCGGTGCACTGTTATAGCGGTATATGATATGAGTCCTCTGCTTTTTAGAGCCCTCCGTAGGTCATACCCTTTCTGAACCAGTCTACGCAATGGACGCAAACCATAGCGGGACTCCAGCAAAGGCATGGAGGGACGAACCTTGACAAGTCAGCAAAAATAGGACAACACCCCCTGAGAAAAAAATGCAACATCATCATTCTACGACCTCGAAAGTGTTAATTGTGTGCGCTGCTTCGGAGTATTGCTCCGGTCTCTACGCGCGGCCGCGCTACCACAAGTCATCTGTGCAAGCAATGGAAGGTGGAGAGCTGCGGGAAGCCACTCTGTTTTTCTGTTCCTAACCCGTGCCCCATTGTTCAGTTCAGTCGTTACCACGCTTTCCTGTAGTACCTCCGTCCACGATGCGGTTCTAGGCGGTTTAGGCACAGAACATATCCCTGTATGTCAGCGCTTCTTTTATAGCTTATTTCAGTGCAGTCACAGGCATAATACGACACTTATGTTCTGCTTGGTCTAGGTTGGGTACCACCGACGCAGTTCTTTCTTCTCTCAAAGGTCACGACACCCAGCGCTGTGGAACTCCTTGTGTCGCTTGAGGATATATCTCGCAAAAGTAGGTGTCGTAGCTGTCGTTCTAGTCTTCTTGAGAGAAGGCTTCAGAATTCTCTGTTCCATTTTGCAGGCTTTGAATTCTATATACCAGTATCAGTATGAAGCGTCGTCTACCATTTCAGGAAGAGCGAGTGAGCATCATTGTACCTTACCCAAGCGCATGAAGTTCTCCTACAACCAAGATTGAATCTTTTCGGCCTTATGAAAATCTTGTTGGAACGGGCTGTGGTTCACCTCCTGATGCATACAAGCGTTTGCATGCTCGAAAGTACTTACTTAACTTAATATTTATTTCTGGACATCTTACGAACTGAATATTTCGGTGTGCCACGGAACTGGTCGCGGACACCGACTTTGACAGTGGCAGATTCTGGCCCCCTAAGTTCCTTCCTACTAATTCCTACTTAGAGAGACCTCTTAGCTCCGCATAGCCCTCAAGCCTTGCAGTGGTCCGACAGTGCAACACCCTATGAGGATTCGCCGCGACTGATATTAGGACAATAACGAAATGTGCTACTTACTTAGCTTCCCTCTGCCAACTAATCATATGATCGTGGTCGAGAACGCTTACTTTGGCGGTCAATATAACCATTCACCCACTACCTCCGTTTGTGGCAATCACGTCCTCTTCATCATACACTCTAGTTCGCTGCGGACGGGTGGGCGTGTCAGGCAGTATGAGTGTGTCTCCCGTCAAAGCCGTTCTCTGCCTTCTTGTTGAAGTGCGCATGCGACAAAAAGTGGTAGAAAACGAGTAATACGAACGATATGATACAGTCATATCATTCACTCGCTTTAACAACAGGTGGAAAACGGGTGCGTGCGTGCGCTACTGCGTGCGTCGGTCCGTTTGCACGATAACTACTGGCTCTGTACGTACCAGTA